AGGGAGTGTTAGTGTGAAGTTCAGAGGAGCTGGTCTGAGTCTTTATATTATACATTGTACAAACTTTTGTATTCAGAATATTCAGGTAAAAACAAGAGTATATAGTACTGAGTGTGTACAGTGTTCAGTGTGTGCATAGTGTTTCGTGGGTGGTGCCAGTGTCCAGTGTGCAGTGTTCAGTGCAGTCTCACCTAGCACGAAGGAGACAGGGATGAGCTCAGCATAGCGGTTGCAATACAGGGACAATTTCTCAAACAGGCGCCTCTGTCTGTCCGGTAAGATAAACCTGCAGATAGGAGAGGACACAGGCCAGGCACATCTTCAATCAGGCACATTGCTGTAGGGTTAGGGTTAGATCTCTAGAGTTAGTGTTAGGCTTAGAAATATGTAGAGTAAGGGTTAGATCTCTGTAGAGTTAGGGTTAGATTGGTGGAGGTCAGTCCAAGACAATTGTAGGATTAGGGTTGGATTGCTAGAGGTTGGCACTAGGATTGGATCACTGGAGGGTTAGGGTTAGAGTCTGGTCATTGTAGGGTTAGGGTTAGACTTCTGCAGATTAGTGTTAGGGTTAGGGTTAGATATCTGTAGGATACATTGTTTCTCCTCACTTCCTTTTCTCTGTGTACTGGCCTCCAGACTCTCTTCCCCTGCCCACTTGTCTCTCCAATCTCCTCTATCTACAGCCAGATGTTGAAGTGCAGCTCGTTACCTGTAGAGGGCGCTGAGAGAGAAGTACAGTATGGTGAAGATGAGAAGCTCTCTGTACAGCAGTTTGTAGATGCTGCCTCTCCAGCGCAGGAGGAGGTGAGAGAAAGTGCCCAGTCGAGCATCGGCCACACACCGGGAGTATGTCACTGTCATCACTGCCCCCTATAGGACAGGCTGAGCCACTGCAGAGCAAACCGCTGAATGACACACAACCTGATTAACACAGTTACTGATGAAGAGGTTTTCTGAGACACTGACGGTGGCAAATGGACACAATTCATTCCTAAAACACAGACAGGAAAAAAGTGAAAAGAAATTTAGTCAATAAGCAGACAAACATAAAACAAGAATTTAAATCTTCAATCTGTAGAACAGATTGTAGAAACAACCCACCTGTAACTTCACACTAACATTCCCTCATCAGAGCTGTAGATACTGTAGAGACACTCAGTCCAGCTCCTCTGTAACTTCACACTAACACTCCCTCATCAGAGCTGTAGATACTGTAGACACTCAGTCCAGCTCCTCTGTAACTTCACACTAACACTCCCTCATCAGAGCTGGAGATACTGTAGACACTCAGTCCAGCTCATCTGTAACGTCACACTAACACTCCCTCATCAGAGCTGTAGATACTGT